TATATCCTCAAACGTTGGCAACTGTGACTCCGGTGATGACTTGTCATCATCACTGTCATCCATTCCATCATCAGCTGATGAATCTCCTTCATTACTATGTGAATCACTTTCTCCCCTGGTAGGACTACTACCTAGGGTTGCAGCTGTAAAACTTCTACGTTTGATAGGTGAGTAACCCCTGCCTCCAGAACCTTTTCTAGCTGCATCCCTCAGCTTGAATTGACCCTCAGGATCCTGCTGCTGTCTTGCTCGTTTTGCTCGTATCTCATTCAATGCATCATCTCTGTCAGCTGCCCTATCCAAAGCTCTTGTTGATGAGCGCATGCCACGAGAATGTGAAGGAGGTGAACTTTGTTTCCTTGGTTGGGCCCGATCCTTGATCATTTTGTCGTGCAGACTCCTGTCAGATTTCTTCGCTGCACGATCAGTCAATATCATTTCTCTTTCCAGTTCAGTCATCTGAGCAAGCTTTTGCCGGTCATCATCGTCCTTGTAAAGATCACTGCCAATAGAATCATCATCACTCTCATTGCCATAACCATCTCCATCATTACCTTCTCCATGACTGCTATGATCATCATCTCTTTCTTGAGGGTCCAATCTCTTCTTAAGAGGAACTTGTGAACCAGAAAGCTTTCGACCTGAATACCCACGACCATCATCAGAGTCATCATCCCTGGAATCACTTCCATCATCAGAATATGAACTCTTGTGATGTCTTCTAGATGATTGAGGTGGACGATTCCTTCCACCAGTATTCGTTCTACCAGCAGCCTCCAAGAGCAAATCAGTTAACTCTTCTTCCATGGTCTTCTATTCCACTCAGCCACTTGCGAAAATAACAACTTCAAAAATCACTAAAAAAAATCAACAATTTCGACAAATTATAAACACAACAACAATCAATTTGACTATAACCTGAAAGGAGAACAACAAAACAACCAAACAAGGAAATATAAAACTCTCAGTCAAACCTCAAAGCACCGAATACTAACCCTAAGTCTGGATACAGAATACAAACCCCAAGTCTGGATACAGAATACAGTAGAACAAGGAATTAAACTATTCTGATGAGCAAATAAACAGATAAGCATTGATTCAGATCCATTCAACTCTATCAATCATTCTAAAATTTCAAATTTCTGTTCAATCAAGTCTAAAATTTACCATACACAAAATTGGCAAAGGAATAACAGAAAGAATACAAGTTTGCCGGAGAGAAGAATTAGATACATACAATTGATCCCGCCGGATAACGAGCTCGCCGGAGAGAAATGAGAAAGGAACAAATTAGGGCATAGCAGAAAATGGTTTGCAAGGCAGTAAGTAAGCCGTTTGGATTAAGATCCACTTTTTTTTCATTTTTCAATTGACATCAGAAAGAAATTGGGCTTGGGCTATTTCTTTTGAGTTAATAAATTTTGTAAATAGCTATACTTTAGTATCTAATTACAAGCATAGCGATAATTTGGATAATTACCAAATATTGTAATAGTTTGAAGTTGTTATAGTATAAGATAAAATAAAAATATTTAATGATGAAGCTTCAAACTTAAAATATTAGCCAATTTAATAAAGATTGATTAGCCAAATGAGTATTTAATGATTGTTTCAAAAAAATTATTAATAAAGTTACTAAAAGTCATAACACATTAAACGAATTTATAAGTATTCAAGAAATTGAATTTTAAATATTTTCATAATAAAGTTACTAAAAGTCATAACACATTAAACGAATTTATAAGTATTCAAGAAATTGAATTTTAATTATTTGTGAAAATATTTTAACAGACTAACGAAAGCCGTTTGAAATATAGGATAAAAAGGAAAAAAATTTCACACCAGCCTATTTTACTTATATACTAGAATAGTGGCTTATTTGTATCAATTTTATCTATGACGGTTCTCGGACTCAGTAGTGATTCCCATTACTTGCTTTTCTCTTTATATTTTCTTCTCGGATATTTTCCGCCATGCCGAAGATAGACGAGCTACAGATGAATAGCCCGAGGGAGCTATTGATAGCCGATCCGGGGATCGAGAAGATTCTGATGATGGTTTCTTATGTGATGTTATACCAATTTAACAACGAACTCGAACAATGTGTTCGTTCACTCACTTTTTCGTAAAATTCTGTTTCATCTAAATGAATTTAAGAAATAGATAATAATTTTTGGTATGATGATTTTCAATTTATGTGATGTATAAATAATATATTTATATATAAAAAGAGATAAATATCGAGCCCGTGCGCACACATACATTATTCATCTAGTAGTTAACCATAGGTGTGAATTTGATTGTTTGAAGAAAATTGTTTGAAAAGTTTCTCAAAGTCCAAGCATATTTAAAATGAATCAATAAATATTTAAGGAATTAACTTATATAATGCTCCTAGAATTTTCAAAGTTAACTACATGTGCGAATGTGATTGTTTCAAAAAAATTATTAATAAAGTTACTAAAAGTCATAACACATTAAACAAATTTATAAGTATTCAAGAAATTGAATTTTAATTATTTGTGAAAATATTTTAACTGGTCTTGAATTTGGAATTTAGGGTTTGAGATTTATGAAAACATATCAATTATGAATATGTAATTCGACTAGGAAAATTAATGACGAAAGGTTGATTTGTTTAGCTGCAATTTAAAAATTAATATCAATTGGATTCATTGATATTTGTTTTTTCTTTGATCAACTTAAACGATTATTGTGAGTTATAAGAATAATTGAATTCTACTTAGTTACAAGTAGGGGTGTGCAAAAATCGATTTAACCAATAAATCGAATCGAAAAAAACACTATTGATTTATTGATATTGGATTATTGGTCTAACGGTTTTTAAACGGTTTCACAAATTTTTTTATTGGGTTATTGGTTCGATTTTCGGTTTTATGATTTTTGTTAATGGTTAAATTGATAACCCAATAAAACTATACTAAATTTACTATTTTATCCCTAGACCAGTAAGCCCTAATTATATGACATTTTACAAACCTTATTACTTTAATCTCACCATTACTTATAACCCTAATTATTGTTTCATTCTGTAATTGCAAGCACACTTCTAACTTCAATATGCCAATTGCCTAGACTTGCTGAAAAATGATTGTTACTTTCACACTTTTTCCTTTGAATGTGTCTAAACTTGTAAGAAAAATGATTATTACTTTTATGATTATTACTTTCATGCCAAATGTTGGAAAAAATCATATGATTTATATGAAATTTTTCTTATCGTGTATATTCATATATATATATGAGTATTTTTTTATTGGTTAAATTGAAAACCGAACCGTTAAGTACCTTAAACCGATTAACCAAAAATCGATAAGAAAAATGTTATTGGTTTGGTTATCGATTTGACGTATTTACAAACCGAAAATCGATAAACCCAATAACACATAAAATCGAACCGAACCGACCGATGCGCACCCCTAGTTACAAGTAAGAAATAATAATGAAGAAATGAAAATTACACTTTTTTGTTTTTATATTTTTCATTTTTATAGAACTATATAAACTCAAACCATAGACTTTTTCAATAAAATAAATCAAACTGATAATCATTAAAACAATATGAACTTTTATAAAAACCCGACATGCATTATCATTTATTGTACTCAAATAGTCAAATTCTATATCTAGAACTACACAAAAATCAAAATGTCTAAAAGCGCAAAAAAATTTTTGTAACAAATTAAAATAAAGGAATTTGGTCTGTGGAGCTCTATTCTACTACCTAGAAACAAATGACTGACAAAGCATGAGAGATTGTTGACAAAAGAGAATGAACAAGCTATATATTTCAGTGGACGATACGACATGTTGTATATATGATGATAACGAAAAGGAATCTCAATTCTCACTGACATCTATTTTTTGAATGTAGGTGGACAATAACAGTGAAAGAAGAGCTGGAAAGATGGTCAGGTTGCAGAGTGTAGAGGAAGTAGGTGCAACCATGTTTATAATAGATAAAAGAGAGACATTGAAGATGATTCGAAAAAGAGTTGACAACAACAATTTCGGGAGCAAGGATCTACCACACATGAAAGGCATGAAATTGGAAACACTTCAAGGGAGTAAATGTAAATATGGATATAGTTGTTATACAAATAAAGAAGAAGATTATTGAAACTTGGATAAAACAAGTAAAAGGCTATAGGAAAGCTATGAAGTGCAGTAGTATAGTTTAGAAAATATGTAACTGACTTGGTGTTTTTCTTCCTGGTTCTGAGGTCGGAATAACTAACACTTAGGTTATGATTCCTTGGAGTGCTCTTTTCGTGTAAATATTGGTTGACTATGGTAATTTTTTTATGATTTATTAAAAGGAAAAAGAGAGAGGTTAAAACTAGTCAATTATTCAGAGAAAATGCAACTAAAGAGAACCCTCCGACTTTTTCTTTGTTGATATTACTATCTTCTTCTTTTTTCCGTATCATTTAAATGTTCACTTTCAAACTTGATTAATTAAAATTCAAAAATTCTTGCTTTAAATAATAGAAACAATTTATTTTATCAATCTTGGTTTAGTAATGATGAACAAACATCAACTTTATCTTATTCCCAAATATAAAATAAAAAAATCATAATTTTCCAATTCAAGAAATTGGACAAGTTAGTATTCATTTCATTCCATTTAATTGGTGCTTTAATTTCTTTCCCATGTATATAAAAAATAATGGAAAATAATAAATATACTATATAATTCATATTATCCATATTTATAAAGATAAATAATAAACTACTTTTTCCTCTTAAATAAATTATACTCATATTTCATTAATATTTAGGTACGATGCTAAACAATTCTTTCTATCTCAAGTTATGTTGTAAAACTTGAATTTCAAAAATCTAATTTTTTTTTTTTACATAAAATCAAACATAAAATATTTTTAAGTATATAAAAATTACAATTCACAATAATTAATAAATTAATATATTTTTTTATACACTATATAAAAAGTTAGGATGTAGCAAAAATTTATTTGAATCTCCAAATTTGGGAAGTTGTGAGCTAAATTGGACTGAGGAAGTATCAGCTTTGAATCTCCAACTTTTTAACATTTCCAAAGTCGGTCACTTTGGTGCCTCAGTTCTCAACATACTGAAAGTTTTAAAGAGAAAGATGGAAGAAATAGATCACAAATTCGTTGAAGTGAATGGTCTAAAGCTTCATATAGCTGAAATTGGAAGTGGGTTTTCCCCAGTTGTGGTATTCTTACATGGATTCCCTGAAATTTGGTATTCTTGGAGGTACCAGATGATAGCTGTAGGCAAAGCGGGTTACAGAGCAATTGCACCCGATTTTAGAGGATATGGGTTATCGGATCAACCAACTCAACCCGAGAAAACCACACTTCTCGATCTTGTCAGTGACCTCCTTGCGCTCCTTGACGCTCTCAGCATCTCTAAGGTATTCATTCAATCTTCTGAGATTTTTATGAGAGAGTCCCTCTCCTTCGGTAAAAAAGAAGGTTGGGTCGAGTCTCAAGTTATTTTGTTTTTAAATGAATCAGCAGTAACCATGCAGGTGAAAGTTTAGGTAGTAAACCAACTAAGCTACTTTTAAGACTTTTGAGGCTTGGGTTCAAAACTCAGCTGAGGCAAAAATGGGTACCTGTGCTTGGGAGTAGGAGGTATCCGTGGACTTATAGTTATAGGTAGAAGGTACTCGTGAAATTAGTCGAGGTGCTAAGGTAGTCTGGATACCACGATTATTGTAACAAAAGAAGGTTGGATCGAAATTGATGACCTGCATCTTTTTCTTTTTTTTATTCAGCTGCCATTTTCTGTTACTTTTGGAATAAAATAGAATATCTTTTGCAATTACTTGAGATAGTAGTAGTTGTATAAATCAAATTGCAGTTAATTTTCTTAAAAAAGAAGAAGCTTGAAAGCCAAAAGGGAATATTGATTGACTACTCAAATGATGATTGGTATCATTCTTTTTTTTTTTTTTTTGGAATGAAGGAAATAAGTAAAAAAGGAAAACTGGGCTATGCAACTTGCACCAAGGCACACTTAGCACTGATGCTATTGGTGGAGTTAAAACTTAAAAGAACAAAAAAAGAAGAAGTCGAAAATGTTAGTTAGGAGGTCTGTAAGAGTGCTTGAAGATGCTAAGTGTCAAAATCAAATGTTCTACGATTCAAGGAATGACGCGCTATCCTTATTACAGGGGAACCTAAGTTGTCTATTGCAAATGATGTATGTGAACTAGGACGAATATGTTTAGACTGCTTGAGTAAGCATAAACAGAAACTAACCTTTTTTAGCTTTAATAATTAAATACATTAGGATTTTAGTGAATCTATTTGCATTATTGCTCTAGTTAATTGCAACATAATCTCAAGCTTGTTATAACTTTAGTTATTCGGATATTGTATTTTGTTAACTTGCATCCTAAGTTTATACAAAACTATAGTCATTCTTAATTTAAAGCTTACATATAGTTATAACTCAACCAAAATGATCTTTTTCCTTGTTCTCGGTAATTTTAGGTGAAATAAGAACATATATGTTGGTGCTTTTTGTTCCCTTTGTCCTCTCTCGCTCTCTCTATCTCTTATGGCGTGTGTCTTTTCATCTCTTTGTATGTCCAATAATGTAGGTTTTTCTTGTTGGCAAAGACTTTGGATCTGCTATCCTCTCCCGTTTTGTTCTTCTCCATGGGGAAAGAGTCTCTGGAATTATTACCATGGGTGTGCCATTCGTGCCCCCACAACCTGCCAATTACTCTGAAAAACTCCCCGAAGGCTTCTATATTTCACGTTGGAGGGCATGTTTTCGCTTTCTGATTTACATTCTCCATGATATCAATCCTATTTCTATTTGATCTCCAAGAGATTTTCTTTGCAGGAGCCTGGGAGAGCTGAAGCTGATTTTGGTCGCCTTGACGCTAAAACTGTAGTGAGGAATGTATACATTCTTTTCTCCAGAAGTGAAATACCAATAGCCAATGAAGATCAGGAAATCATGGACATTGTGCAACCATCGACTCCTCTTCCCCCTTGGTTCTCCGAGGAAGACCTGGCTGCATATGGAGCTTTGTATGAAAAATCTGGATTCCGAACTGCATTGCAGGTTACTTATAGGTACCACAACAGCTTTTCTCTATCTCTCACTCATATGTTGCACAAAGTTGTTATATAAAAGGATTTTGCTTTGACGTCATTTACGACCCTGGTGAGGAGAGGAGACTTAAGAAAGTAACAGTACTAATTAAGCTGAAGTACTAGCCTCGTCGCTCCATTGTGTGTTTAACATTCATGAATTGACTGAAAATTTGAGTTTTATAAATTAATTCCATGGCTAGTTAGCTACTGACCGCTTTCCTTATATCATATTTTTCCTCTTGTTGATGATGAATTTCATTATGCAATAGGAGGTCAATGCATGAACAAGCCAACATTAAAGATCCAAGAATTCATGTTCCAGCACTGTTTATCACGGGCGAGAAGGACTATTTTCTGAAATTTCCAGGAGTCCAAGACTACATAAGTGGAGGACTCAAAAGTTTAGTCCCTAATCTGCAGATGGTTAACTTGCCAGAAGGAACACATTTTGTTCAAGAACAATTACCTGATGAGGTCAATCGACTCGTGCTCGACTTCCTCACAAAGAATAGCCAATCTTGAAAGTCATCAGCAAGGCTTTGCTGAAGAGTTTTCAACAGTTTGGTTTGTTGCATTTGTCTATGAAGCGTGAATGATCAGTCCATCTTTTATTAAAATTATTATGGGTGCGCAAGGAGATTCATCTGAATATCTCTTTCGTCGAAAATTATACAACATCAACAAGTTTAAAATTATTTTGGTCTAACTGTTAGGGGTCGTTTGGTTTGAAAATGAGTTATGATGGGATAAGTTATGTTGGGATAAGTTATGTTGGGATTAGTTATGATGGGATAAGTTGTGTTGGGATTATTTTTTATTGAGTGTTTGGTTTGTTGTATTCAAAATAATAAATTTTAAGAACAATTTATTTGTTTACAAAAATATTATACAACATCAACAAGTTTAAAATTATTTTGGTCTAACTGTTAAGGGGTCGTTTGGTTTGAAAATGAGTTATGATGGGATAAGTTATGTTGGGATAAGTTATGTTGGGATTAGTTATGATGGGATAAGTTGTGTTGGGATTATTTTTTATTGAGTGTTTGGTTTGTTGTATTCAAAATAATAAATTTTAAGAACAATTTATTTGTTTACAAAAATGCCCTTCATTAATGTAAAAAGTGATATAACAAAATGGTTGAAAGAGACATTTTTGTCATTTACCTATTTTATCCCGGGATAAGTTATCCCGGGATTACTATACCACCCTAGGTTAGGGATAACTTATCCCGGTACTAATTATTAATCCCGGGATAAGTTATCCCGAACTTGCCAACCAAACAACAAAATAAGTGGTACTATAATTTAATCCCGGGACTATTTGGTAGTATCCCTCACACCAAACGACCCCTTAAGGTGTTGTCTGGTTTGGATTTAGGCCTTCTTGGATTTTAATCCAAAGACGTCTCAACATTTGATTTTGAACTCATGCTTATAAGATCCTAACTTTCTTCTTTCCGTCTAACGGGGAATTTACCTAAGGTATAATGTGCACCTCTATTTCTAGGCTTACCTTCTGTCATGAGCGTCATAGCCTGGTTTAGTGCCAGTATTATTGGTTGTGTGTACCTATAGCTTCCAATTAACTACACAATTACATTAGAAACAAAAACAAGTAGAAATCTAGACGGATAAACGTACCTTTTATTTTTACTAAATTAGATAAAAGTGATTATTAAGTGGCAAATAAATACATACTAATTGAACTTGTCTTAGACAGGATAATGAATAACTCACTTGCTTCACAAACTTAACGTATGATTCTTTAATAATATTCTAATAAGTAGTAAGGATTTTCTTGAGACATGACTTCGTCAAAGAAGATGACAGATATATGATAACGTCCAGAATATCATACAAAATTAGCCCTACTATGAAAAAGATAATTTTATTTGATATATTATATCTATAGTCATAATTCTTAAAAAAAATTGTTAGACACTGTTTTTTTTTCTTATATATAGCCCTACAAGAAACTGATCAGATGAAATTGTAACTCACCTGTTAATTCATATAACTTTGGAACTAGTCAATAATTGTCCATATTAACTCGCATCATTTGATACCCCACCACCTAGCATTTAATGAAATTAGGCCGGCAAACCTATAATCAATAAAGAAAAAAAAATAGACAATGAAAAACACGATTATGAAATAAAGTCAATGTGATATACTATTACTATTATTTTTTTCGTCTTTTTTTATGAGAAGATGCTTGTCTAAACATAAGAATTAAAAGAAAAAAATAAAACCTTTGCTGGAAATTTATAAAAGATAAGATATAAGATATTTGTACTATTTAAGTAGCTATAAATTACTACAATGAAAAGTTTAAAAGAAATTATTTCTAAATATAAGAAATAATTACTTTAGTTTAAAACAAATTAAAAAGATAAAATGCATTAACTAAGACGAAACAGAGCTAAAAATTAGAGGGAAGCTAGAAGGTTAGGAGTGATTCGGCCGAGATGCGGTTATTTTTATACTTATTTTTTTAAAAAAATAAAAATTAATTACTATTAAAATTTATAAAGTCTGAATTTTTAGTCTAAACTTCCACTAATAATGACAACTATAAAATTATGTATAGCAAAAAGTTGCCAGGAATAATTTTATGAATTTGTTGATAGTATTTTGCAAAGATGCTTTTTTTTCTTAAAATAATCATCCGCATTCGTATTAGAATCAAACTAAATTCTAATATTTCGTTATTGAAAATTTCATTTTTAAGTAAAACGCTTATTAATAAAAACAATTTTATACTTAAGAAAACTCAAATTCGAGACTTATAATTAATGAAAACTAAATTCTAATTCGTTATGCAAAACCTCTTTTTAAGTAAAACACTTTTTATTGAAGACAATTTTATACTTAAGAAAACTCAAATTCGAGACTTGTAATTAATGAAAGAGTACTTGTCTAGGGGCAAAGATGCTTTTTTTTTCTTACTCACTCTATCTACTCCTCTATCTGCTTCAGGCTTTGAAAGTAATTATAAAATCCCAAACAAACTTGATCAATCTTCTTACAAATAGATCAAAAAATGGAAGAAATAGAGCACAAATACATTGAAGTGAATGGGCTAAAGCTTCATATAGCTGAAATTGGAAGTGGGTCTTCCCCAGTTGTGGTGTTCTTACATGGATTCCCTGAAATTTGGTATTCTTGGAGGTACCAGATGCTAGCTGTAGCCAAAGCGGGTTACAGAGCTATTGCACCCGATTTTAGAGGATATGGGTTGTCGGATCAACCAACCCAACCCGAGAAAACCACATTTCTCGATCTTAACAATGACCTCCTTGCACTTCTTGATGCTCTTAATATCTCTAAGGTACTTTTAATCTTCTTAAATTTTGCAAAAAGAAGTTTTTATAACTATAAACTAGATTAGTGTTTGAAGAAATCGTAATTATCTGGTTGATGTTGCTGGTGGGAGGTGACGGGTTTTCGTGGAATTTGTTGAGGTGCTGGCCCGGACACCATAGTTATAAAAAAAAAGTGTAAGATGAGACATAGGGTAGTAAAGAATTTCAAGTCTGCTATGCAGTTTGCATAAGGACGCATACCAAATGAACCTTTTTACTTGTCCACACATAGTGTTGGAGGTGTTAGAATTTAAATTCAGAATTAGAAATAACTCAGGGGATCGAAAAAATTCTTTTAAGTACTAGACGAGGTGTGCATAAGGTAGTCTGGATGATACTGTTATTAATAAAAAGAGTGTGTAAGTTACTGAAGTGTTCTAAACGTATTATTACTATATTTTTAGAACACTTCGGTAACTTAGATTTGCTTTGTTCAAGACTTGACAGACCATAAAAGATGGACTGATCATTCACACTTCCTAGACAGATGCAACAAACCAAACTGCTGAAAAATCTTCAACAAAGCCTTACTGATGATTTTCAAGGTTGGCTATTCTTAGTAAGGAATTCGAGCACGAGTTGATTAACCTCGTCGGATCATTGTTCTTGTACATAAAAATGAAAGTCCCGGGGAAGGAGGAGGGTTCAAAGAGGTTTGATGTAGTATTTGAACTAGCAGTCTTGTTGAATTGGACATACGGGATTCAGTTCTGACAAAAATGAAGAAATTACAAACTATATATCAAATTAAAATCAAAGCATTGACTCTTCAGCAACTATCAATAGATTTTGTGATTGGAATAGAATCTAACTTAGGTGGTCTAAGCTCATAATTCTTTATAGCTCGACCATATAACGTTTGCTGCTTGGATAGAAATTTTAGTTGTTATAAGTTGAAGATTATATCTTTGTTCCTATTCTCATCTCCATGCCTGCTCAATAATGTAGGTTTTTCTCGTCGGTAAAGACTTTGGATCTTTTGTCGTTTCGTATTTTTCCATTCTCCATAAGGAGAGAGTCTCTGGATTTATTGTTATGGGGGTGCCATTTTTGCCTCCAAAACCTCTTGAGTTTAAACAAGGCCTCCCTGAAGGCTTCTATGTTTCAAGATTTGGGGTACGTTAATACGTTTTTTATCTCTAATTTGCTTTCGCTATGATTATCATTTATTGCTCTCTCTTGGTCAATCTTGGAGATGTATATATTTTAATTGTTTGCAGGTGCCTGGGAGAGCTGAAGCTGATTTTGGTCGTCTTGACGCCAAAACAGTAGTGAGGAATGTATACATTCTTTTCTCCAGAAGTGAAATACCAATAGCCAATGAAGATCAGGAAATCATGGACATTGTGCAACCTTCAACTCCTCTACCTCCTTGGTTCTCTGAGGAAGACCTGACTGCATATGGTGCTTTGTATGAGAACTCTGGATTCCGAACTGCTTTGCAGGTTCCCTATAGGTATCATGCACAAACATCTACTGTATGTTTTGTTCTATGTTGCTCAGAGTCTTCAAAAATACCGTTGGGTGTGTGTCGGATTCTCCAAAACCTGTGTATCTTTGGAGGATCTGACACTGGTGCAGCAACATTTTTAATAGGAGGGTCCTAACAATATAGGTTTTATTTGAACCGGAAATTCCCCATTTACTACCCTCTTGTCTCATGTTCATACATTATACCAAGTTACCAACATCATTGTGGTAGTCATTCACAGCCCTGGTATGGAGATGCAGACTTTTTTTTCTTGATAACCGAGAAATACTCGAGGGGTAGTGGTGCACGGTTTAGAACTCGGTGATTAATTGGTCCGACCCTATACCAGGAGGCAGGAGAGGCAGACTTGAGAAATAATTAATCCACTGTGTTACTAACATTCATGAAACTACAAGAAAATTCAAGATATAGCCTTATAGGAATTGCACATGAGAGTTTGTGAGAAAATGCTTGAACTTTGTAAAATAGTCAAGGTGTTTGCAAGCGGACTCGAACCACCATTATAAAAGAAAAGAAATTATAGGAATTTTTTTTGTTGGTTGATTAATACTGAACACTTTCCTGATTTTTTTACCTTTCTTTTCTTGGTTGTTTATTGCAATAGGTCACTGCATGAACAAGTCAACATTACAGATCCAACCGTTCACGTTCCAGCACTGTTTATTAAGGGAGAGAAAGATTATTTCCTCAAATTTCCAGGAATCGAAGATTACATTAGTAGTGGAGTCCTCAAAAGTTTAGTCCCTAATCTGCAGATAGTTAACTTGCCAGAAGGAACCCATTTTGTTCAAGAACAACTACCTGACGAGGTTAATCACCTCGTGCTTGAATTCCTTACGAAGAATA